GTGCTCTGGTGTTGAGGCTAGCAGCTATCTGTCCCAGGTGGGATTCAATATTTCTGACCACAACATCGTTTCTGATAACATATTCCTTGACATAATTCTTCAAGGTATTGATGTGTTGGTCATCTCTGGGGAACGGAGCATAGTTGGGTCTTCTCTGTTGGTCATATGCTCCATTTTCCATGCTGCTACCTTGTTGGTATTGTTGCTGATTGTTGTATGGTCTCTGGTTCGTGGGAGGTCTCTATTATGGGTTATGGTTTTGATCTTTCACTATGGTGCCTCTAGAATTCTGATTGGTGTTGTGTCCTGCATGTTGATTGTCCTTGGCCTGGGTGAAGTTTATGTTCCCAAAATTTTCTGCATAACATACCAAGGCTGTAGATGGGCAGTCTGCTGAATCATGATGATCACCACATGATGAGCATGGTTCACTCTCAGTGGTTGTAAGTTGTAAGACTCTCATTCTTGGTTGTTCCTGATCAGTTTTTAGATTCTTCACCTCATTTATTAGTGCAGCCAGTTGGGCTTCCATGGTAGTTTGCTTGTCTAATTCTAGCATGCCTAGCTTCCTTACTGGGCTCATTCTTTCTAGTGGCCATTGGAGATATCTTTCTGCAGTACCTTCTATTATTTCGTATCTTGACTCAAGAGTTCCTGTGAAAAAGTATCCTCATGCAGCAAAATCTAAATGTGATTGAGAAGTATGATCAATCCCTTTATAGAAAGATTATAAAATTCCCCATTTCTCCACCCCATGGTTTGGACATTTTCTGATGATGTCCTTATATCTCTCCCATGCTTCATAGAGATTTTCTCCATAAAATATTCTGAAGTTAGAGAGCTCAAATCTAACATCAGCTTGACGAGATATAGGGAGAAATCTCTCTATGAACTTGTTAGAGAGTTCTTCCCATGAGTGTATAGATCCAGGGGTGAGAGATTTCATCCAGATTTTGGTTTTTGAGCCCAAAGAGTGAGGGAACAGCCTCATTCTCATACTCTCTTCTCTCACACCCTCAGTTCTGAAATTATCACAAATATCTTGAAAATTAGTGAGGTGTGTGTAAGGATCTTCTGCAGGGAGTCCATTGAAGACTCCAGCCTCCCTGATCATGTTAAACATGATGGGTTTTAGTTCAAAATTGGGAGCTACAGGGGGAGGATTACTCCTCTTTCTGGTCTGTTCCTTAAAGAAGCAGCTAGAGCTCTGAAGTTTTGTTCATGAGGCATCTCTTCATTGTTATTATTGTGATCAACCATGTTTGTTTCAAAAATATTTTCTCTGAGATCTCTTCTTCTCCTGTGAAGAGTACGTTCTGGTTCAGGATCAAAGAAGAACTCAGGTATTTCAGTGGAGTGGTGAGAATCTATTTCAGACTCTTTACTCATAAACCAAAAAACATAAATAGTATGAACAGCTGAATATGTAACAAAAAATGAATAAATGAAATATATACAGAGTATGTACTTAAAACAGTAATAAGGATAGAATTTAGTGAAACTATCCCCAGCAACGGCGCCAAAAAGTTGTTGGGTGTGAACTTGTTGGTTGCTTAAAATATTCTTATAAAGGACGTTCCCTTACTTCAGTTCATCAAGAAAAAACACATTCGTTCTCTTGACTTCAATCCAAGTGCGCAAGTGCACGCATCAAGTAGTAATAAATGGGACTATTAGTGCCCAGATTATTGTTCCCACGAGGATAACACTCTAAGTAATGCCTTAAACTATTTTAAAAAGAATGAAAATGAGAAGAAAAGTTAGTAACTTCTGTTTGGTCAAACTTTCCCTGCTGTCTTGACAATGTTCCTCAAGAACAGTAGGTTCAATTTGACAGGAAACAACTCTTCGCGTCGTTATATATGAAATCCTTCTTGATGAGAGAAGGAATGACAGTATTCATTAGGGATTTGTAGATACAAGATTGAATAAAGAAAATAACAATAGCAATAATAATATTTAAGAGACAACAATATGGAATTATAAAACAGTTTTTAACACAAGGAACGGATCCACGGTTCCATTCTTAAATAGTTATATTCCCCACTTAGGACTTAACCCTTTTGGCTTTGATCAGGTCTTTTCACTGCCAACTCTGATTCCTCAGCTCATGGACTAAATGGCTCACAAGTTTCCATATTCCTATGGCTCCCCTTGACTCCAACAGTTACTAAGCACAGGACCTTTAGTGAACGAGGTGGTTCCTTATTCCTAAGGCAACCAGCAGTGTTGTTTCCACAACACTGCCTTCCCCCTCTGATTAAGATGTCTGAAATCCCTTCCTTATGGAAGTTCCTTTCTTAGTATGCGTTCAATTTCCATTGATATGCAATGAATATAGCACACTTAACCAGAGAAATACAAAAGCTTCAGTACAAGAGTTTTGAAAATAGTTCTTTAAGAACTTCACAGTTTTTCCGTTCCACAAATAACTTAGCCCATGGCTAATACTCTAAACATAATTATTCCAAACTGAAATTCCATAGACCCGAGATTCAGTTCAGAGATAACGAATGGAAACAAAGAGAAATAACACGTTATATTAATCAGAAACAAGTTAGGTTACAATGAAATGTAAATGGAGAAGTATGGTTGTTGCTCGTGAGGAGTCTCAAGTGGGTAATACAGAATAGAGAAGAAGTTGTTGTCACTTAACTATTCCTAAAACTATACAACTGAAATGTAAAAATTACAAAAGAAACTAAGTGATCTCTTCTTAAGGAATTCAATGATTTTCTTCGTGCTGGAACGTCCTATTTATAGGCAGAAGAGTGGGTGGCAAAACTGGTAATTTTCATTGAGTTATTTTCTTGACTGCATGAAAGGGGCGGTGTGAACAGTGCTCAGAGGGACGCAAGTTGCTGGATGAGACACTTATTGTTGAGATTTTCCTTTTCTTCTGCAGTCCCTCATGCCTTGCTTTCCTCTTAACCAATAGGAATTCTTTATTCTCTGTCGTGCACGTTTCTTCCTACTTGATTGTTGTACCTCTTATGCTTTATGGAAGCTTCTTTTCAACGTTACCTGCAAAGTGTATGGAGAGATTGAGCTAGTGGAGCAGGTATATTTAATGTTCCCATTCCGTTCCCCTTTTTCTACTTTTCTCAAATAATTACATCATCATCCGTTCCCCCACTGTGTTTTTGTCCCAGAGATATAAACACGTGTTTTTAATGCTAAAGTTTCTCATCAGATGAAGGAACGGATGATATTTTGCCATCAAAATGAGCTTAGATGGGAACGAATTCTCGTCCCATCAATATCCATTTCCAGCCACAATTTAGAGAGAGTAAATATATCGGATATCGTAGAAGAGAATTAAGGGGGTGTAAATTGGTTAGGTTGAGCTAGTCTTTGTTTTGAATAGGTCAAATTTGTGTAAAATACTTTAGGCTTAGCGTGGTCTTTTAGTCTTGTGTAGACACCAATTATAAGTCTGACATGATCTATATATAAAAAACAAAAGCCTTGACTTAGGCCTCTTAATCTGTTTAAACCTATTTGGCATTTAATAATTAAAAAAATATTACTTTATTGTTCAAAATTATTAAAATAATAATTTTATTTAAAATAAATAATATGATATAGGCGATCTATAGGCTTATAAGCCCAGCATATAAAAGAAATCATATGACATGTTTTCTAAATGGATTTTTTTAAAGCCTCGTACCTAATCTATTTGACTGTATGTAATAGACTAAATCTAACTTGATTTAGGCTAGGCCGTAAATTCCTGTTTGGCTGTCTGATTCATTTACACACCTAAAGAGAAGCACAAGAAACTTACTCTAACAAGTTACGAGTTCCAATAGTTATATATTGTTTTTAGGTTTTGTTAAAGGCATGTGTTTTTAGGTAACACGAATTAAAATAAAAAATTAAATGAAAATTAAAATATTGCATATTTGAAATTTTTTAGAATATTTAAAATGATTTAATGATAAATATTCTTGTCATGTCTGACACTCCAACACGCGTTGCAGAGACTCAAAAAGGATTCAAAAGTTGCGTTGCGTTACGTTTTTAATTCCAACTATTAGATTTGCTGAATTACAATTACTATTTTATTGAGTTTAATATAAATATTTGTGATATCTTTTGTTTCTTTGCAAAATTGATGTGTATTATAAGTTTGTTAAATTATTGAATATTAAATATTATATATACTATATAAATTAAAAATATTATTTAATATCAAAACTTGTCCTTATGTCAAAATTTAATATTTTTTAAAATTAACGTGTCGAAGTGTCGTATTGTGTCATGTCTCGTGTTCTGAGTTGGTGTTGGTGCAACATAGCTTGAAATATATATATATATATATATATATATATATATATATATATATATATATATATGTATATATATATATAACCCTGCTCAATAAATTTATGAGTTTTTTTCATGGTCCGTTCTTAATTCAACTTTAATGAAAGTACACATAATTTTTAAATTTTATCTCTGAAATAAGTCTCAATATTAATATGATTCATTTTAGCTATTATTTTTTTACTTAAATGCACATGTTAAGGATTCTTTTTTTAATTTTCTAAATAAATAAAGAAATGGATAAATCGCACCATGCTTAAAGCAAACCCTACTCTTAATTACTAATTAGTGAATGATTACTGTGTAACATTATCAGCTGAATCAAAATCAACACTTTATTTTCTATAACTGAAATCTTTATGTTAACTAATTGTGACGTTATCAATGAAGAGAAATGGATTCTCTAATCTTAACATAAATTTCATAGATATTATATTAATAGGTGGATGTTATTAAAATTTATGAATACAAAATTTTAACCTAATAAGCTCATGATAAATTATAACACGTGAAATCGTTGTAACATAACATCGTTATTATCGGTTAATTAACGTCCGAGTAACATATTTTCCATGTGTCATTATACCATTGGCTCCTTGGAAAAATGCACAAAAATTTCAATGTAACACAATGGATAAGCTTGTTTTTGCTGTAATTCACAAAAGCCTCACTTTCCCACACAGACAAACACTATTGCAGATGCAAACACTTTTCTGCCTCTGAATATTCTTCTCTTCCCAAAATCCCAATCCCCACTGCTATGCCGGAAAACTTCTGATTCCGGCCACCACTACTCTCTCTCTCTCTCTCTCTCTCTCTCTCTCTCTCTCTCTCTCTCTAATTTCCAATGGCCACTGTTACTTCTTCTTTCTTTTTCTCTTTATCGACACTCACTCAATCTTCGCAGAGGAAACTAACCGTCTCTTCCACTTCAGATGCTTTTCGCTTCCCCCTGAGTTTCTCGTACCACTATGTTGGAGTTCGAGCTTCGAATTCAGCTTCCAAAATGGTTGTTCGGTGCTCCTCTTCCGTGACAGGTTTGTTTGGTTTTCGAGAAAATGTGGGGAAAAAGGGAACAACTTTCTAGCAGTTCTGAACTCGTTTCAGTTTTCTATGAATTGGGTAGTCGTTCATATTTTGTATAGCTTTGGAACTGAGTTTTTTTTTTTTTTTTTAATTCAAAATTGATATTTTGATTGGAAGTATATGATTATGGAACTTTTGTCTCCGTTTTTTGAGATTTGGTGTATGGGTTTTGGAATTTAGTGTCAAAGGGTTGGCTTTTAGTAAGAGTTAGTATTGCAACTTGATTATTGAAGAGAATTTATTTTGTGAGGATAATTGCAATTGATATCATTGGTGTTGTTGGTGACTGAGACATTTAAGTAAATGAACTACTGCAAAATTTTTAACCTTATTTTTACAGTTTCACTGTATTCAATGAATGTAATTGCTTGTGGCCTTATGTACAATATGGGCAAAATATTATTTGACTGGAAAATTTTCTGGATTGATGCCACCTTTTTGTGTTCCAGAGGAATTTGTGTAAATTGTAAATATCGTACTGAAATTCTCTGTAGCTCTTTCTTGCTAAACTGAATGCGGTTTTAATATAATCACTAATCAGCATATGATTTGGTTTTAAAAATGAAGATGTTCTTAGAACTACATATTGAGGGCTTCATTCTGTTAGTGAAGCATCTCCTTTAGACATCTGAATCCGTGAGGCGTGATCATACTATTTGAGAATCTATTTCTTTGTGCTTGGGAATTTGCTTAAGTTACCTTGTGTGTCAAATGGTGTGAATAGTTCCACATTAGGTTTCTTCACCATTCCAAGATTCACACTGCCAAAAGGGCAAAAGAAATAAAAGCAGAAAATGAACCTTGTTATCAATAGTTGGTCATGGGTTGTCTACATACTTGATCTGCAGACCCTCCAACTGTTTCTGAGACAAAGTTAAATTTTCTCAAGGCATATAAACGACCAATCCCTAGTATCTATAACACGGTGCTGCAGGAGCTGATTGTTCAGCAACATTTGATGAGGTACAAGAGTTCATACCGTTATGACCCAGTTTTTGCTCTTGGCTTCGTCACTGTATATGAGCAACTCATGGAAGGTTATCCTAGTGATGAGGACCGAGATGCCATCTTCCAAGCATATATTAAAGCATTGAATGAAGATCCAAACAAATACAGGTTAGAAGAATGAGTAATTTGACTTTTTCTTTATTGCCTTCTTTTTTTATTTTGTTCTTTTTCTTTGCAATTCCTACTGCAAAACTTCAACTCAATGATTGAGAACTAATGACTGTAAGGCCCTGGAGACTGTGTTAAATCAGCTCACCAAGAATCTAATCATGTGCTTTAGGGACACTTCGGAATTTCTAAACATGATTTTGGCACCCAAAATCACGTTTAGGCATAAACTGCAAATTGTAGATTCTACCTACAACATGATTTTGTGACAAATTTGGTTTGTTTTACTACCCAGTACCCAGTTGATACTTGTACTAGTTTCTTAAATATTATTTGAAGAGGAAGATGGTACAATCAAATGACTCCCTGCTTCAATAATTAATTGTGATAGATTCTTTTACATTTGGAATTTTATTGCAATTGGGAGGTATAGTGCTAACTAACTATCACGCATCATTAATGTCCTTGATGATTGTTTTGAAATGAAAAAAAGAAATTATGAATTTTAATCTGTCGTAGAATAAATTATTTTTCCTAAAGACAAGTCGAATACTTAGTTGCATCTCAGGAAATCTTTTAGCAGAAATGCAAGTAGGATTATCCGTGGACTTTTTTGTTATATCCACTAGATTTGAATAAATTGCAATTGTGAATTCTTTATCTTACATCAATTGATCTTTTATATTGCCCTCTGCAGAGTAGATGCACAGAAGTTGGAAGAGTGGGCTCGGGCTCAAAATCCAACTTCCCTGGTTGAGTTTTCATCCAGAGAAGGAGAACTTGAGGGGATTTTAAAGGATATTGCAGAAAGAGCAGGAGGAAAGGGTGATTTCAGTTATAGTCGTTTTTTTGCAATAGGCCTCTTTCGTCTTCTTGAGTTGGCAAATGCAATGGAACCAACAATATTGGAAAAGGTTACCCAATTCATTTAAGGCGTCATGATATAATGATATATTGATTGGAACCTATTCAAATTCTTTATATATATATATATATATATAGCTTTTACACTTTGAAGTTTAAACTTTAAACTACCTAGTCTAGTTCTCATTCACACCAGTCCTAGAAAACTACACATTCAAGACAGTCCAACTTATTTAGATGTCCTCTTGCCGACAACCTGGTTTAGCTGAAGTGATTAAATGGGCTTGGCATCCTGATCTCTCCTCCACCAAGTTCAGGCCTCATTGGCGGGATTACTCCCTTTGTTTTCCTTTATCTATATAGAAAATTGATTTCACGATTTTGCTTTTACTAAAATGATTGCATTACTCTATGACTTTTGAAGGAGAATACTCCATTGTTTTGGAATAAAAATTTATGGTGTTAACATTATAGGCACCAAAATCACAGATAAAACTAATAGTGTTGAGCATAGGAAATGATATGACAATGGCATTGCGGAGGAAGCTTTGAATGTCAAGATTAGAAAACTATCTATTTTCTACCGCTTAATAACTGTGTGTAGGATTATTAATCAATTAACTTCTGTTGTGAATCCAACAGCTTTGTGCGGCTTTGAATGTCAACAAAAGAAGTGTGGATCGTGACCTGGACGTGTATCGTAATCTGCTCTCTAAGTTGGTTCAAGCTAAAGAGCTGCTAAAGGAATATGTTGACAGGTAAACATCAGACCTTGCAATGCTATTAAGTTTCTCTCCCTTCTATGGTATAATCTATGAATCTAAAATTTATTGAATATTTTTTTCCATACACTACCTTTAGTCTGCAGTTGTAAATCTGCTAATAGCTCATTAAGTTCAAGATTGACGCTTTATTCTAAATGTTCTTTCTTATAAAAATGAGATCACAAACTTCCAAGCAATTTATTAATGTATTAACTTCTGATTGAAATTTGAGGTGGTTTTGCATGGCCTATTTACTAAGTTCTTTAGTTTTAAGACACAGATTCAGCATTCTATTCTAAATATCCTTTTCAGAAAAGATAAAATTACAAACTTTCTAGTAATTTTCTGAGAACATTAATATCAAGCTGACATTTCATCTTTGCGGTAAAAATATATTATACTAAATAGTCTGATACCCCATCTGCTCAATAATGTTTCCAGCAGCCTGCATTTGATACCCTTATCTTTTCAGCAGTCAAAAGTCTTTGGATTCCTGAACCTAAATTGTTGGTCTAGTAGAAGTTATAGTTATAATTTCTTGTTTTCCTCAGCAAGATTTTGATTCTTGGAATTAATATTTTGATTCAGAGAGAAGAAGAAAAGAGAAGAAAGGGCTGAACCACAAAAGGCTAACGAGGCCATTACGAAACAACTGCAATTTTCTGGCCTGTAATTATGGGGGTTCTTCTGAAACGATCACCCAGTGAAGATTTTGTATTCTTGACTTGCTTTTTGTTGAAAATCAGGGTCGGGCACTTTTATCATCTTGGTTTTCATACTGTATTTAGTATATCTTCTGTCATGGTGATCCAGCTAAATCCTTGTTTCAGTTCAACCACAATTAATTCACCCGTCCTGCACAATCTTATGTGACATTTTCTTGCATGTATTTTTCCTCCCTCACACAGTTGAAGATGTATTTTGTAGTTCTCAAATGCATGCCTGAAGGCATATATTATGGTAACTGAAATTCTTCATATTTCAGTTCATCTGACATTTTCTGCGGTTGATGTTTACCTTTTGCTTAGTGAGTAACGACTGAGGAAAGGTGTGCATTGTGCATCCTTGAAAAGGATATAATCGTGTACAGAGAGTATACATTTTATGGTATGCAAAGCATACTTTTTTCATTCGTTGATAAGGCCTTATTCCCTTCTACTTTATTGGATTCTATCTATTAAAACTTGACTGAAAAATACGAACACATTGGCATGGACTCTATCAGCATGTTTTTACAACTTTAGAACATGCAAAAGGGTTTATTTGAATTTTGAACACCAATATTCGCATGATAGTGCTCACGATGCACTTCTGTAACCGATTTGGTAAATTATAATGGTACTTAACTATCATTAACACTCAGACTCCTCACACCTTGCAAGGTAGCCATTGGATGTGTATATAATTTTTTCACATTTGTTCCAGTACAATTACATGACGATGGTAACCTGTGCGAAGTATGAGGACTGTGCTGAGATTGTATTTCATTCTAGTCAACATCATTTTTCACACACCTTCATACCTTTAACATATAAATTCCATTTTTAAAATTTTCTCTGATTAATCACTTGGTTACATGAAAGTGTATGTATATGCTGCTATCCTCCTCACGCATGGCTGACCTTTTACTCTCAATTCTTTTACAATCTACCCAAACAAACTTAACACTCAAGCTTCAACTCTAGCACACATGAAGCAGAATGCAAAGGTCGAAAGAGTTACTTGGAATTTATGTATTTTAACTGCAAAAAATTGTTGAGGATGAAACAATTATTGTATCTCAATACAAGTATCCCGTTCGCTGATAGAATTGAGCAAATCCGTTGTAATATTGGTAGAAACAAAAACAAATATTTGTAAGGGGTTAACTGGTGTAGGAAATGTAAACCGCATAACATTAAAGAATGGCTTACTAGTGAAGGACCTAACTAAGATGAGAAAGATCGACCTCATCTGGGATTCTAAATGTATCTGCTGCACCAAACTTCCGAAATTCCTCTGCTATAGAGTCTTCTTCATCACTGTCATCTTCCTCATCGTCATGGCGGTGTGGTGATGACGGATCATACACACTTTTTGACTTGCAATTAAGAGTGGCAAGCATGTTAACCTGGCCAAGGTGAGAAATCTCTACCACAACAGTATCATCATCAACTGGAAGAGGTTGCTTCCAAGGTTCCCCATCGATCCTCATGAATGTATGATCAGCTGCACCTTTGCGAAACTCAAACTGGATTCTGTGTGCCTAATGCCAAGATAAAAGGGGCAGAAAACAATGGAAAAGGGCAAATAATTACTATGGTATATTTAACTTCTTTTGTATAAATTCATGCGAGTAATTTTTGGGAAATATTTCGAAAGGAAAATTTGATTTAGATAAAGGAAAATGCTGCAGGCTAAGAATAAAAAAACTACAAAAGCAAACGTGTACTCAATATTTTATCATATCATGCATACCTGAGCAAGACGAGTTCCATGTCCCTTTGGAGCAAGCAAAACAAGCCCATGCCACGCATCTCTAAAACCAACAACCTCCAGAAGGCCATCATCTACATATGGTGGTGTCAAATCTCTCTGTATTCCATCAAGAAATCTTACTTAGTTTTCTAGGGTTAAAAATAAAAGAAAAATATTTTTCATAAAGTATTAGATATTTACTTGTGGTCTAGTACTTAACCCCAAAACTTACAGGAAAAAATAATTCGCAAAATAAAAAGTTTCGGAATTAGTAATGAAATTTACATCACGCTGCTTCTTCGTGTTCGGCGTACCCCATGGATTCAATCCACCAGAAAAGCTGGGCAAGTTAAGGCATACAATTGACCGGATGCTGTACATAAAATGGAAAGAGTCATAGTAGGCGTTATTCAAGCAGTAAACAGAGGCAGAAGGCAACCGACAGCAGACAGCAGAGCAAAGAAATAAAAAGTAAGTTGATTTATATCTTATATTGCCCTTTTAAAAAACATCCATACACAAAGGTGCCAATGTGAGAGACATCAATCATTCAATAATCAACAAGAGCAACAATGATAAAATCAAAGTAGTTCTGAGAAATGGTTATAAGAAATAAATAATTGTCACTTAAAAACTTTGATCTTTGGCAAGTTGAAGTAGAGCAGGGATTTTTCAATTAACCTGAATTTTTTATTATCTTCGCTTTTGTATGTTTTGCTAAAGATATAGATAGTAGATAAAATGGTTTACCTGGGAGGTATGTATAGGTCTTGCCATTGACCATGTCTCTTCATGATTTTTACTTTTGCAAGTTGTGCTATGTTCCTGCATTAAAAAATCAAATTATATTTACTTAAGTAGACAAATGACAGCATAATAACTTTTGTGTAGTGCTAGAGAAATATAATGTAAAACTATTAATGCAGTCTTTACCTAAAAACTCAAGAGTTTTTTGGTTGAAATGGTTCTTTATAAGATACTAGAGCCTCTCTGATCAAGAAATGATAATTAAATATTATGAAGTTTCTTAGCATATGTAGGTGACTCTATGCATGGACTGTTCAAGCCCAATAGACTCTAGCGCAAGGGGACGTGTTTGAAAAATATAATATAAAACTATTAATGTTGCCTTTACCTAATAATTTAAACTTTAAGGTTGAATTATAAATTGGCATTTTACATGAAGTAAGTACAAATGCATGCCTATCTAAACTAGCATACAAAACATAACAGTCAAATTGCTAGAACTTTCAGTCTCCTATACCAAACACTGTTTACAACCCATCATATATTTGAATTTCACAATTAAACAGAATAAGGAAAAAAATCTAAAAGAACTCTCTTATTATGAATTTAAAAGAAAATATGTTTCCACATGCATCATCATTGTCCATGCTCCTTTCTGGTCTATGGACCAAGTTAAACATGACTCAGATAACGTTATACAAAAAAATCATCAAGTTTCGTTTTTTGGTTTTTTTATGATCTCAATGGCTACAACCGAATAAAGTTAGTCGTTTTGAAGAATACAGAGAATGCTCTTAGCCTGATGTAGTGACAATGACTACTTCTAATGCTTCCTAATTCCGATCACTGGCCACTATGACCAGCATTACCAAAACCCGAACCAAGTACCAACTTTGAACAGGTCAGGAGGCTGTCTGGAAAAAAGTTCAGTAATATCAAAAAAGTAAGCTCAATTTGACCCTGGGAGATCATTTGGTGTTGCTTCCAGCATGATGTTATATCCATGGGAAGTTGATATGGGGACGAAATTCAGGAACCTACAACGATGTTAAGTGCTTTTGAGATAGAAATAAATACTGCTATCTTTCCAGCTTTTGAAATTTCCAAATGTTGATAATCTTTTCCGCATAACTCATTAACAATTGTAGGTTCTTGGTGGCGAAGCTGCACTTAGTAGTGCTTGAGCTTTAAAGGTTTCTAGAAGAGATAATAATGTGCTGGATGGGTGATAGGTGGTTATAGTAGGTATTTACAAGGGTAATTCATTCATAATTATTAACTTTAGGGAATTGAGCAGTAGCTCAATTGTAGAAAGGGGAAACCCTTGGAAGGAGAATTCCTCCTTTTTCTGTTCGGATTTCATTCACCAGCAATAGATTCATTCTTTTTCTTTCTATCTCTCGTACTATTCTTCAATTCTTGTTTGTGGGCTCATAGGATTGTGCACAAAATCATTATACCTGATTAAAATCGAAGTTATAAGGTACCTATATGAGGATAAGTCTAGGAAAAGAAACAGAAGAATAAAAGCATTTTTTAATACAAATATAAATCCCAATTAACACTACTGGACATATGGATGAATTATGTGGTATTTATGAAAATAACTTCAATAAATCATATTTCATTTGATTGCCTTAAAGAAATCCACTAATAAATTATCAAATCCATACTTGGATAGAAAGAAACCCAGCAATAGAGAAAAAATCAGCATACTGAAGATCTATGAGCCAAAATCATAAAAACTAAAATCAAATCAAGATAGCCTAATATTTAGTCAGAGCACCAGTTATATGGAGCCAGGTCAACTATTAGTAAGTAGATTTAAAATATTCAACTCCACTAGAACATGTTACATGTGTCGATTTTTATGAATTTATATAGACCTATTAATGAAATTTGCGGTGGGTAAAAAGTAACCCCAAACTTATAAAGGAAAAGCATGCAAGTCCTTTGTCCAATCAATGACAGATCTTAACGAACTTACCTAGAAGCAGGATGGAATAGAGAAGCCATAAACCATCCTTGTGTGCATCCAAGCTTAGCATAAGTACTCTAATATGTAGATCGAAATCAGGACCACAATATCAGCTTTTTAAATTAAAAAAAAAAAAAAGAGAATGAGAAGAAGAAGAAGAAGATGATGATGAGAATACATCTCTCTTGTCCAAAATTATCTCGGCTTTCCAATCAAAAGTGAGAAAGTCAAACAAGCACTCTTGTCAACCGACTACACATTATTTAGGCATTACTCTGAAGAAACAACTGCATACCTGATTAACCAACTGGTTTTTGAATTTTTCAGGATTCAACTTTCGTTCAGAATGAAATGCATAAGACACTTGAGCATCCATTCCTACAGTCAGCAGTCACAGATATTTAACAAGGATTGAAATAGGGTGAACTGTAAAACAAAATTCAGCCGATATAATCTAAGATCTAAAACATTTTAGAAGATAAAAGTTATCAAGTTAAAAAGAGAAAAGTAATGATGTTGGTAATCATTGAATTTTATTCAATAGGAAGACTTCTGTAACATAAATTGTTTACATCATTTCATATAAAATGTGCAGTTTTTATTGCTAAAATTTATTTCTATTGTCATCATTTGATATTACCTAACTTATTGGAGATCAAAGGATTGGAAACAGACCAAACTTAAAAACGTCACAAAGTGCCAAATAAATCAATTAATTCTTCCATAAGTGGAAAATGGATTTATATACTCCACAACATAAAGTTCAGGTACAGAAGAACCCAGGAATAAATTCTTACTCACCCATGCTGAAGTAATTCCAAAATCCCCCACGAAAAGTGTGGCAACCTACCTGGTAAGCAGTTAGAAAGAAACAACCACAAGAGGAAGTATGGTGAGTGGAAACGAAGACAACCTTCTAAAAATTCAAAATTAAGATAAAACAGATCATAGAAAAGAACTGCCGTCGTCCCTCAGTTCTAATTATTGTAAAAAAAAGTGACAAACTCCGGTGCATAAGGCTTCCGACTTGCGAGGGTAGGGGTGAGAGTCGATGCAGCCTTACTCTTGCATTTTTGCAAAGAGACTGATTCCCAAACTCGAATCCATTACAAGGAGGAACCTTATCAGTGCTCCAACTTGCCCTATAGTTCTAATTATTATAAACTCAAAAATATTTAAAATCAAGTGAAAAAAGTGGATAAAATATGCCGAAGATTTTGTTCTCCTCGTTTGCAGTGTCCCACTAGCAATTAGTCTCAATTCCTTGATGGTTCAAACAAATATTTACAACCGATTGATAGCTATGGCCTATGTGCCTATGTCAAATTTGAAAATATAATAGAAAACTAAAGATATCAAAATCAATATCAATATTATCTTTATTCCAAATTAGTTGGAGTTGGCGGTCAATGAACCCAAGTAAAAAGCAAGAAAAGAAATGCCAACAAAAAAACATGAAAAGATTAAGGTAAAAGTAAAATAAATAATAGACAAGAAATAAATATATAAAATATCGAGAAAAGGGATTAAAAAAGTCATTTGGAAGATAGGAAACAACGAATCTACCCCTCCACAATAGGCATAGCTTTCCCCCACTTGTCTTTAAGACAAACTATACTGCAATCTATTTCATATTTAAAATAGGGGAGGATTATATTTATCATCAACATCAACAACACCTTTATCCCAAATTAATTGGGGTCGGTGGTAGATGAACCCACATGAAAGATACAAAACGGTTGAAAAAAAAGTTAAAAAAAATAAAAAAATAAAAAAAAAGTAAAAAAGTAAAAAAGCAAAAAATAAATAAATAAATAAAAATAAACAAATAAAATAAAAATATAAAATAAGATAAAATAAAATAACAATATATGTATATATAAATAAATAAAAGTAAAAAAGAAAGGGACAAGAAGAAGTGGGGGAAATGAAGGAAAAAATGACTAAAAAGGGACCATCTGGAACATAGGAATAACAGCGGGTCTAACCCTCCACCATACTTATAGCTTTTCTCCATTCCGTTCTAAGACATTATAAACTTTTATTTTACAAACTACACTATGTACTAGGGGTAGTACACTATGTGCTGGAATGTACTACCCCTAGTACATAGTATAGTTTGTAAGAGTTTGTAATCAAAAAAGAGTTGGACGATCCTATTTGGTCAAATACCTAGCGACAAACTCCTATGTTCCTTTCATTACAGTATTTCTGAACAAGTTCTCGTTTTTTTAACTTAGAGGGGCTAAAAGATCATTTATTTTGGCTTCGTTATTGGGTTAGCCATACACTTCACATGTTTCTAGCGATTCACATGGCATTATCAAATTAAAGTTTGTAACAAAACAAAAAACGAAAAAGAAGAGGTCTTTTTTCCTTTAAGTTCCTAAAGTTACTCCGTGAGCCAGATTCAAATAGTTGGTGCTACAGGAGCAAGTACTTCTTTACTAAAAAAGAAAAAAGTTGGATATATGTGACACTAACCATAAAATGGTGGGTAAAATGGGTAAAATCAATTGTATAACTTTTTTCCAAATTTAGTAAATGATGTACTGAATCTTCAATACTAAGAGAGTATTGAAGATATTTTCGTGAACTGGATGTAATATAAGATTGCAAAATAGCAAATGATATAATCTCTTACCATATTAAGTTCATCTCCTTCAGATACACGATGGAAGGCATGCAAAGAATGAGGTAGCTCAAGTGGTGGAATTGGATCACAGGGACCGTCTTTTGGAGCTCGCATCCTCATGAGAATGTGCCAGCTGAAGGGTTAGAAAAACAAACAATAATTATCAGCAAACAGCATTTTATAGAAGAAATATATGCAGAAACTGAATACAGATGTGAACAAGCAGCTTTTATACTTTAATATATTTGCTTTGGATCAAGGGGCATTAAGGACTGGACCGGGGAAGTATATAAGGGGTAAAATCAAAACAACAAAGTTCAAACAATAAACAAAGTACTAGCAGTGGCACAAGAGCTGTAGCTCAAGTGGCGCCAAGTCCCTTTGAGGGCTGCTATATACTGGGATCAAACCCTGCGCAAGCTGCTTTGCTCACACTTTGGGGGTGTTTGGTTCAAGTTTTTGGAGAGGATTACCGGTAATCCTTCTTTGGTAAATGTAATTACCACGTTTGGTAGAAGGAATAAATTACGATTCCCGGATATCCAAGGATTACCGGTAATTTGATTTATAAAGAAAAGTCACTATTCAGATTACCAAAAATAATATGGTAATTCGGAATACCAATCAGAATACCAAGTAAAGGGAAAGCACAACAATAAATTTTGAGACAAAAATACCCCAATACACATAAAAATCTAGACCCAATCTATCAATTACAAAAGTAAAAATAGTTTGGGGTTATTTTTGTAAAATAACCTCATATTCCAAGTCATATTTCGTTCTAAACCAAATATGGAATCAGTAATTTTTACCCAGTATTCCCGGTAATATTTTGGGAACCAAACACATCTTTCGTAAGATTCCAAGTAAACTCAATTTCTACTGAATTCCCATTAATCATGATTCCCGGTCACCAAAAAATTTCTCCTGTACCAAACACACCCTTTAGGCTACCATCCCTTTCCCCACACCAGGTCTTTAGACCACCTTTGTAACCCCAAGAAAAAGGTACAACCAGTAAACTAGTGAACCCACCAAAAATGCTCCACACACAAAATAACAAAAAATGTACCTGAACACACCATAAAAGAAAACCAGATTAAAGTGGTGTTAACAAAATATCAACACGTTTACAGTAACTGGTAATGCGGCTATCCCATTCCCAAGTGCAATCTCATTTAGCCCCCCACCTCCGAAAAACAAATCAGGACTGCAATCATAACCTCCTCACTTATAGATTTATTTCATTCAACTATAGGACACCAGAGGTCCAGAAGTACTTTGTAAGCCATCTAGGAAGAAGACTAAATGTAGCAAGGAAACGACATCATAGACTAAATGTAACCCATCTAGGTAGAAGAAAAAGAAAATAATCGTAATTATAAAATTAAAGATAGGCTTAAAACTAATTACTTGTCTATTTTCATTTCCTTAGCTTTCATGACTTGGTCTAAAAATGCCTCAACTGAGCGTTGATCTGTCCCCGGGTTCCTCTTCCCCTGTAAAGCAGCAAAAATTATATGCTTCATCAATATTTTCTTTTTTACTTTTCTGATAAATTCTTTATCATCACACTCATATAGCTACTACTGAAAAGTAAACTTTCTCAACTTTTAGCAGAAAATCTTCATATACACACGTTAGAAAAAAGAAAGAAAAAAAGATAGCTATTTGATACCTAGTAAATGGTAAACATGCAAATAAACTAGCATAGTACAATGCTTCCTCATAAAGTGAATCCAGTCAAACATTTAACAATTAAAGCTTTTCATGTGAAAACCATAGATCTGATACTATCAAGACAGTTGGCAGAGTAAGTATAATGTTTTACACATAAAGTTTCACTAAAAGCACCAAAATATAAGTTGAATTTCCTACCCAGCCAAACGCAAAAGGTAGATTATTCCCTGTGCCCAAGGGAACCGTGGCTATCGGTGGAGGATGAGATAATCTGAGATCACAAACAACTCCAAGCAGCCACCCTGCTGTTCCATCACCCCCTGCAACCTAAAGGCAAGGTACAAATCAGAAGCTCAATATAAAAAACATAAAAGACAGTGTGATGCTATAAAGCTCGGCTAATTGCATTTGCAAGAGCCTGATTACATGAATTGAACATGATTGGATTCAATATAAGAACATAACCATATAAAATTGCTTACCAAATATATTAAAATAAAAAAAACCACTCCCGTTAAACTCGACTAGCGAGTGTGGGATGGAGGTAATCCTTGTACGCAGCCTTACCTTTGCATAATTGCAAAGAAGCTGTTTCCTGGATTCGAACCCATGAGTCCATATCTTTCGGTCATGAAAGAACAGTTTTACCACTGCTCTGGCTCGCTCCCTTTTACCAAATATATTAAAATAAAATAAAAAATAAAAAAACATGGAAACATCAAGCCATGAAATATTATGATGAGAACTCACAATCAACTTCAACCTCTTCATAATCTTTGCAGCAAATTGATCACCCCGAAGCTTGAGGCTTTCCAAATTAGCATAGATTGATATCAGCGCCTTATCAGGAGACTGTTCCCCCAAATCAAAGACCTGAAAATCACATTGCGAGTGTCATAATCACAACAACTTCATATAAGATATCACAAAAATGAAAAACACGCTCCACATTGATAAGATTAACAATTATATATAAATATATAAATATATATATACCTGTTTTTCATTAAGAACAGCACGGTACGTTTTCAAGAGGTCCCCTCCAAGCTGACCACCACTCTTGGAGTTAACAAAAACCAACACCGGACACTGAGGATCACGATCACCAGCATCATCAACCTTGGACTCAGATACAAGAATGTAATCGGGAATCTTAAAGTTGTTCAAGAAGTGAGAAGAATCAGATGAAGCCATTTGGTGAAAATGCGCAGCGAGATGCAAATAGTAATGTACCACGTTCACGAATAATTCAACAATGGAAGAGGATAACAGAAGAAGACAAAAAAAAGTGCAAAATGAATCGGAAAATGCAGAGATTAGATCACGCGAATGAAACGGAAAGCGACCGGCGTTGAGAGTTAGGAGGGATCTTCTCTTAGCTGCGACCGGCGGGTCCCTTTGGGATCCGAATTTCCGAAACGTCAATTCTCAACGTTGCTTTGCATCTTTTTTTTTAATTTCAGTGTGAATTTGTATGTTTATTATACATTTTTTAGTTGATTTTTTATTAATATATAAAAACAAGAAAATATTAAATGATGAGATTTTAACACATTCGATGATCTTTGAAAATATATTTTAAAATGTAAATATTATTACCATTTAATAATTTTTGAAAAATAATATTTTTTTTCTTTTACTTCAAACAATTTTTTTAACTCACTCATATAAAAAATAAATGGGTTTCACTAATTTTTTTCCTTTTTATTATAACGGACTCATTCAATTTTGTGTAATTAGGGTCAAATAAGTTTTTTACAATAAAAATAAAAAGTTAAATTCATTGTTTTTTTAATTAATTCAAGAAGAAAATAGTCAATATTTAATTTTTGTCTATATTATTTAAAAATAATAAAAAAGAGTTGTTAGATGATGAAGAATGGTAGACAAATACAAAATGGAGTGGGACAAAAAAGAGGTTGGTATCCCTGATTAAAAAAAAAAGGAAAAAACGATGGAAAAAACAATGCTGTGAAAAAGAATCCAAAAGGCATAGGTACACCTCACGTGCATGCAAAACGGAGCTTTCACACAAAAAATAAAAAACGCCATTTTTTGTTCTCTTCATTACACATGGCATGACATTCTTTTTTAATTAATTCAAGAAGAAAGTATTGAATGAGTAGCTTTTAACACATTAAATGATCTTACATCTTCATTAAAAAAAAAACTTGCAAATTGACCATTGTATTTTCTCTGCAATTGCACAGCACATGGTCACATTTTTTTAATTAATTCAAGAATAAAATATTGAATGATAAGCTTTTAAGACATTGAATGATATTAAATTACTTTATTTAATTTTATGATTAAATAATTAGAAAAATATAAACAAAAATTAATACATAGAATTACTTTTACACTTATCAAATGTTGGAAGCAATATTATTAGGGATAGGATATTGTGACACCCAAGTTATGTTTTACTCATGTGACACCCAGTCAATCTCACCGTTAGATCGCTTATGTTGATCCAACGGTTATATTTATTTTCATCTTTGTATGGTCATGATTTTCCAAATTTAAAGTGAAAGCATTAAATATGGGAAATCATAACCATACAAAGGTAGAAATAAATATTAAATATTAAATTTGGAAAATCATGACCATACAAAGATGGAAATAAATATAACCGTTGGATCAACATAAGCGATCTAACGGTGAGATTGACTGGGTGTCACATGGGTGTCACATGGGTGTAACATAACTTGGGTGTCACAATATCCTATCCCATATTATTAAGCTCGAACTAATTATGGACTCGATTGGGGTGCTTGATCAATGAATTAGTGGTTCCAAATTCCAATAGCTCATTAGTTGAATTATTTAAATTGAACTTATATAAAAAAAGGTTCGCTTTTTCTGCAGTTACTGCAGATAAGCTATCTACAGTAAGCCCAGTACGATGTCGTTTTGGAGCGGAAATCATGGTATTTTTGTAATTTTAATTTATTTCAAAGTTATAATAGTCTTTATATTTATAATTTTTTAAGATTTCAATACCAAAACGACGTCGTTTTGGGAATAAATACAGATAAGTTATCTGCATTAACTGCAGAAACATTTTTCCCATAAAAAAATATAATAAATACATAAATAGAAGTAATATGACTATGAAAGTAGTTTGCCTTATTTATTAGCATGTCACTCCCCTTCCTTTAGATGGCAAGTTCAAGTGTAATATTTTGCTACAATTTTTAAAAATTGATTCCACCGAAAAAATCAGTACTAATTAGTATCGATTGAACTCGATTTTTGACTTGTCCACCACTTCTTGACCAGGTTGTATACATGGGAACAGTGACATCACTATTGGCAAAAAAATTATCAGACTGCCACGCAAACAGTAAATTTTGCCAAATGCCACGTGGCATATTTCGCTACACTATGTAGCAAATTTCTCCAATTTTGACACATGGCATTTTTGGTTCTGACGTGGCATATTTCGCTACATTGTGTAGCGAATTAGTTGCACACATATTTCGCTACACAGTGTAGCGAAATATGCCTGATGTGCCTCTGGCAAGTTATATTTTCCAAGTCAAAAATAATAAGAATTTAATCATAAAAGAGCATTTTCTGTATATTAATTACTTTTATTAGTTAGTTTTCCTATTTCAGTTTATTTTTCATCTTTTATATCATTTTTACAGGTTAAAGCAAGAAGAATAGGAAATTGAGAAAAACTGAAAAAGGAATATGGTGCTACCCGCGCCACTTTGGCGCTGTTGCAGCGCCGAAAAAGAAAAAGAAAACAGAGATTTGGCGCGAGACCCGCGCTAGAATGGCGCTACCAGTGCGAACCAGTGCAAAAAGTGGCGCTAGACCCGCACCAGAATGACGCTACCCGCGCGGGAATCTGAACCAGTGCAAAAAGTGGCGCTAGACCCGCGCCAGAATGGCGCTACCCGCGCGGACTTCAGCGTGGAGGCAATTTCGAACTTAAAAGGACGCTGTGAGGGCTGTTTTGGAAGACTTTTTGACGACGGAGCAGAACAAGGATTCGTGAGGAAGAGAAAAGTAGAGGATCATTCTCCGTTCCTCCTAGTAATTTTATTTTGAATTCTATTTTATAATTTTATGTCAGCTATGTTTATGGCTGGCTAATTTCTTTTATTGTAGTTAGGGTCACAAATCCTATGTGAACCCTTTTTACGCTGGATTGATTATTTTCGCTCATTTATTTTAATATATTTTATTTTTACCCTGTGCGTATTGATATTATTTCTGTTAGACTTGATCAACCTAATAGGAGATAATAATTCGGGAATTAGGGCTCGCAATAGGAATATTGGGGTTTTTGATTCTGAAAGGGGTAAGGTAACAATTTATGCATGCTCTAGGGATAGACTTGTGTGAGTTGCAGTCGTTTGATTTATCGTGATTAATGCTTAATTTCATGCAGGGTTGCTAAGGGATTAGGATTCCAATTGAATTAAAGGGTTAGATTGCCAAGGGATTGAGATTTAACTAATTATTTGAGATGATAATTTGTCTGAGTTATTAAATTGAATGAACGTTGTCAATCAATCCAAAGTTTAAAGTGGGAATCACATGGTGCGTGTACCTTAGCTGCAATGTTTTTTATTATTCTCTCAAAAATCCAAAGTTGACCATTGCTATTTAAATTGAAATTTTGTATTTTAAATTTCTGTCTTTATTTTACCATCAATTCACTATTTTCCAAAAACAACTGAGTTTTCCAACTTAAGGGGACTGGTTATTGTGGTACTTGGTTTACAATCCCTGTGAAGACGATACTCTACTTACTCATTATATTAGGAGATAATAATTCGGGAATTAGGGCTCGAAATAGGAATATTGGGGTTTTTGATTCTGAAAGGGGGTAAGGTAACAATTTATGCATGCTCTAGGGATAGACTTGTGTGAGTTGCAGTCGTTTGATTTATCGTGATTAATGCTTAATTTCATGCAGGGTTGCTAAGGGATTAGGATTCTAATTGAATTAAAGGGTTAGATTGCCAAGGGATTGAGTTATTAAATTGAATGAACGTTGTCCATCAATCCAAAGTTTAAAGTGGGAATCACATGGTGCGTGTACCTTAGCTGCAATGTTTTTTATTATTCTCTCAAAAATCCAAAGTTGACCATTTCTATTTAAATTGAAATTTTGTATTTTAAATTTCTGTCTTTATTTTACCATCAATTCACTATTTTCCAAAAACAAATGAGTTTTCCAACTTAAGGGGACTGGTTATTGTGGTACTTGGTTTACAATCCCTGTGAAGATGATACTCTACTTACTCATTATATTAGGAGATAATAATTCGGGAATTAGGGCTCGCAATAGGAATATTGGGGTTTTTGATTCTGAAAGGGGGTAAGGTAACAATTTATGCATGCTCTAGGGATAGACTTGTGTGAGTTGCAGTCGTTTGATTTATCGTGATTAATGCTTAATTTCATGCAGGGTTGCTAAGGGATTAGGATTCCAATTGAATTAAAGGGTTAGATTGCCAAGGGATTGAGTTATTAAATTGAATGAACGTTGTCCATCAATCCAAAGTTTAAAGTGGGAATCACATGGTGCGTGTACCTTAGCTGCAATGTTTTTTATTATTCTCTCAAAAATCCAAAGTTGACCATTGTTATTTAAATTGAAATTTTGTATTTTAAATTTCTGTCTTTATTTTACCATCAATTCACTATTTTCCAAAAACAACTGAGTTTTCCAACTTAAGGGGACTGGTTATTGTGGTACTTGGTTTACAATCCCTGTGAAGACGATACTCTACTTACTCATTATATTAGGAGATAATAATTCGGGAATTAGGGCTCGCAATAGGAATATTGGGGTTTTTTATTCTGAAAGGGGGTAAGGTAACAATTTATGCATGCTCTAGGGATAGACTTGTGTGAGTTGCAGTCGTTTGATTTATCGTGATTAATGCTTAATTTCATGCAGGGTTGCTAAGGGATTAGGATTCCAATTGAATTAAAGGGTTAGATTGCCAAGGGATTGAGTTATTAAATTGAATGAACGTTGTCCATCAATCAAAAGTTTAAAGTGGGAATCACATGGTGCGTGTACCTTAGCTGCAATGTTTTTTATTATTCTCTCAAAAATCCAAAGTTGACCATTGCTATTTAAATTGAAATTTTGTATTTTAAATTTCTGTCTTTATTTTACCATCAATTCACTATTTTCCAAAAACAACTGAGTTTTCCAACTTAAGGGGACTGGTTATTGTGGTACTTGGTTTACAATCCCTGTAGAGACGATACTCTACTTACTCATTATATTACTTGTGCGATCGGTATACTTGCCGGTGAGCATCAATGCCACGTGGCATTTTGGCAAAATTTACTGTTTGCGTGGCAGTCTGGTAATTTTTTTTGCCAACAGTGACAAAATGGTCACTGTTCCGCATACATAACAGGTTAATTAATTGAATCGGACCAATTATGTTTTTGATTCCTGGTTCAACTGATTCAATCGGTCGGGTCGGGCTAATTTTAATAACATTGGTCGAAAGAATATTAACCGTTTAAAAAAAATTATAGTGAGTCACGATTTATTTCATAACTTACGTAAGAATGTATTACAATATATCATAATTTTATTTCAACAACTTATGTAAGATTATATTTAAAGGAGAGGTTATAGTTATTATTATTATTATAATAGATTTATCACTCTTATTAGTTGTTTAGTTATTATTAAATAAATTTTAAATTAATAATAGTTATTTTTTTTTTCAACCTTTAATTTTAAATTGATATAACAGGTAATAAAAATGATAACTCCAAAATAATAGTAAACATAATTCTTTCATATTTAAAATATAAATAGGGTTTTATAATTCTCATGTTGAAGGAGAATTGAGATCTCACGTTGTAGAGATAAAAAGCATGTGGGACCCATGTGTTAGAAAAAATTATATGTAGGACCCATGTCAGCACGGAAATCGAAGGGTGTGTAAGAAAATTGTAATTCTCATGTTAAATGAGAATTATAAAACCCATATAAATATCTATAATCATTTAACTGTTATTTTTTTAAAATACTTTTTCTCCGGTTGAATGTTGTACTGTGATTTGAAAGATTCTAATTTCTCAGTCTGACTTAACTTTTAATATGTGACTAAATCAACTCTCTATTTTTAACTTTAGATATTTTAAATTACATTTAATTTAATTAGAAGACAAAAGTAAGATTATTATTTTTATCTTTTAAAAAATTACTAAAACTAATATTTATGAGTGACAATTTTTAACACAACTCATTGACACGACAGGAAAAATTTGTATTTAGATAAATCCGTCTTCAAATTTGTGACATGTTAATGCTGGAAAAATTGGCACAAAAAAATTCATGCCGTATCAGTCGACTCACACAAAATTTACTCGCATATAGGTTATTCGTGTCTTTCAATAAATAAGTTATTCATGTCATGTGTCGTGTATAAATTATTCGTGTCTTATTATATTGTGTTAACCCGTATAATAAATGACACACTATTAAGTTGGCAAGTTATTATTGTTGTGTCGTAACAACCGACAAACTAAGTGGATCATGCTTGGTTCAAAGATTTTAACCTTTTTTTAAATTCATATCATGTTCATGTTAAACTTTTATCGTGTCGTCATTTAAATAATTTAACTCTTTTACCTAAAATAAATTGCCTATTTCTAGAAGTCGAATGAGATATAATTCTCCAAAAATGATTTGAAACTTTAGAGTTTAAGGGTTTATGGTACGAAAAATATAATTATGATACCAATAATACGTCCTCACATGATATTTGTAAATAGCAATCTCATATAAATTTAATAAACACTTATTAAAAGGCCTTCATGATAATTATTTTTACAGAATTCAAACTTTTTTTTTTTTACATAAAGTGGGCCTAAAGCCCAAAAAAACAAAAGTTACACATGCAAAGTAGCACAATGGCCTATGCCACTGTTATCAAAATAGAGAAGCTGCTGAAGCGGTTGAGGAGGATTCTGATATACAGAATTCAAACTTTAAATATATTGTTAGAAATTTTAATTATTATTTTGGGCTTCATTCAATTGCAATTTTTTTCTTGTTTTAATAAAAATGGGCTACGGGATGCAGTATAAAGCCTATTAATTAAGTGACATTTGGTTTGGACTTCGATATCTATATCATTGATTAGTATAGGTAATAATATAGGCCTAATTCATAAGCTTATGATGGTAAGGGGATTATGGTTAATAAGTTTGACCAATGTATTCACAATATGTTGAAAAACAATCACTCCACAACGTGCCCCATCAAAGGTTGTGAACATGGAGTGGTGTGACTTGCAGAAAGAAAATCCTAGTCTTTCAACCTTTGCAAGAATACCGAAGCAAATACTACAATTGAGATATCAGAAATTATGTTATCAACGGGTAAGCCTGAACCCCTTTTGTGTTCTAATTTCATATAATACTATTTTGTGATTTCTTACATTGGTATCAAAACCTTGATTATATGATTTCGAACCCAATTATATATTACAGGATAAAATATAGTTTTGGAATTAAAGTTCGTTTCCGTTTATTTTGAATTAACATTTTTTATTAATTTATTTTGAAATTAATGAAATCTGATGATAATTGTAAACATGATAAATTTTAGTGGGAGAAGCAATTTCGAAATTTGATCATATGCTTTTGCACAGTTCTATAGCATTTGAGCAATTATATATCTTTATAGGAATATATTTTTCTTATGTTGTAAGAAAAAATTATCTCATGTTGTAGAAATAAAAGTATAATGAGACCCACAGGTAATAGGAGAGAGAAAAAAGAGTGGTAGGACCCAATCCCTTTTTGTGTGTGTAGGAAAGTTGTTTATCTTATGTAAAATGAGATAAACATAACCCATCTTTCTATGATTCTTGTCTGTCCTTTTTTTAATATAAGGGAAAATAAAAGAACTACACAACAGGACACACTCTCTTATGAGAGATGCCCCTCAAATCACTCTCAAACAAGTCAAAACAATCCACTGGTGGATGCTCAAGGATATGTATGTCCTAATCATGGAAAGTGTACCCAAACCTAGCCACCCCATCAGCGAGCGTATTGCACTCCCTGTAAGCGTGACTGATCTTAAGGACCCACACTCTGCCTATCATCTCTCTAATCTTATTTAGCAGTGGGGCTAAAGAATGATGTATATGGCACTGGTTAGACACCATCTGAATCACCACTTGGGAGTCCCCTTCAACCCACAGTCTCGGAATGCCCATCTCCCAAGCAATCTCTAATCCGTGAAGCATACCCCACAGCTCCGCTCTGGTCGAGTTACCCGACCCGATATTCCTGCAAACACCTTTCATCCAACCTCCAGCCGCATCCCTAATTACTCCCCACAGCTAGACTTCCTCCCCCTTTCTAAACAAGAGCCATCAAAATTGAGTTTACACCACCCTTCCTGTGGGAACTTCCAAAAAATAAGCCTCTCCTCAACCACCCGAACGTTCAAAGCATGCTTGCGTAACTCTTTGTAGGCTATTTCCGTCTGCGAGACGAAGACTTTGGCTTTCCTAATAATGGCATCCTGCAGAGCGGTTTTCTTCTCAAAAACCAGGCTGTTCCTATCTCTCCACATAAGCCAGCAGAGCACTCCAAATAACTCTCTCCATTCATAATTGAGAACCCTGGATTTACTTTCCAGATTCCTGATAATCCATTGTTGGCCCGATGAGGAGAAGAAATCAGGCCATCGTCTCTCCATGTCAAAATACCCCCACAGTGCCTTGCTCCATTTGCACTCTCGTAGCACGTGTGTTAAATCTTCAACTCCCTCATTACATTTAGGGCACACATTATCCTCTGTGAGATGTCTATGAACTCTCCTCTCATTTGTCAACAGGTTGTTTCCTAGCGCTAGCCAAAGGAAAGATTGCACCCTTTTTGGCTCCTTCCAAAGCCAAGCTTTCTCTCTAATATCCCTTCCATCGTTCTCATCCCTATCTGTTAACATGTGATATGCAGATTTAACAGAAAACATCCCATCCCCTGACAAGCCCCAGATGACATAATCCTCCCTTCTGTCATGGCTAGGGGGCATAACACTAGCAATACTCGCACACGATGCAGGAGACAATAAACTGTATAATAAATCCCAATTCCAGTTACCATGTGTGCTAACCAACCTGTCTACCGTCCAGTCGTGCACCTCCTCCGGTATATGAATAGCATCCTTAATGATCACCCTCTCATTCAGAGGCAGCCACCTGTCCCTCAAGAAATTAGTTTCACACCCGTTCCCGATGAGGATCCTGGAACCTGCCACCACTTTTGACCATATGCGCATAACTCCCCTCCAAAGATTTGAGACCTGACAGCTCGCCTTCAGCTCCGGTATAAGATCATCTCTCAATCCGTATTTTAGCACACAGGTCTATAGGCTCGAACGTTGAGTGAGAATACCATGCCCCACTTTCATGAGAAAGGATTGGTTATTTTCCCTCATCCTCCTATTCCTCATCCCTCTGCATCTCTTCGGTTGGCAATCCTTCTCCCAAGCCACAGAGTGAACCTTCCTCCTATCTAGCGTGGAGCCCCATAGGAATGCCCTGGATCTTTGTTCGACTTTATTGCATATTGATCAGGGAAGAAAACACGTCTGCATGGAGTATGATGGAATCGTGGACAGAACCGACTGGACAAGAGTGGATCTACCTGCAAGAGATAGTGAGGACCTGTTCCATTTGTTTAATCTTTTATCCATTCTGTCTAAGATAAAAGCAAAGGTTGAGGCCCTGACTCTCTCACTCAGAATAGGTATGCCCAAGTATTTACCAAGATCTGCCGCGATAGGAAAATCCATCTCCCGGGCAATCTGCATGACTCTATTATGGTTCACGTTCCTAGAGAAAATCACTCTGGTCTTCTCTTTGCTAACTCTTTGACCTGATGAATCGCAAAAACACTTCAGGATTTTACTGATGATCGTTGCTTGCTGGACAGATGCTTCTGCGAAGAGCAGCAAATCGTCTGTAAAGAACAAATGCGAAATAGGAGGGTCATTCTTTTTCAGCACTACAGGTTTCCATAGCTTATGCGAGGTAGCCTCCAGAATCAGATGAGCCAGTCTATCGATACATAGCACGAATAGATATGGAGACAAAGGGTCTCCTTGCCTGATTCCTCTGGTGGGCATGAAGTCGTCAATGGTTTCTCTCTCCCACAAAATATTCATGACCGTGGAAGTTACCCCTTCCATAATCAGATTAACCGTCTCATCATTAAGCCCTACAGCCTGAAGAGTTTGGCGAAGGTAATCCCAGTTAACCTTATCGTAAGCTTTTTCCAGGTCAACCTTAATAGCCATCCACCCCACCCCACCCTTCTTGAGTCTCGTGGAATGGAAGATTTCTTGCGCAATGATAATATTATCGCTGCTATGCCGCCCCTTAATGAAGCTGCATTGATTAGGTAGGATCAATACATTCAGATACAATTTTAACCTATTAGCAAGGATCTTTGTGACCACCTTGAACACCACGTTACAAAGGCTAATTGGTCGCAATTTATTTAGGGAATCAGGGTTGTCTTCTTTGGGTATCAGGCAATTTGAAGATCGGTTAATATTCCCCATTCTTCTAGGGTCTATAAAAATGTCTCTTATTATATTGACCAGGGATTCTTTAATTACATTCCATTGAGCTTGCAGGAAACACACTTGCATTCCATCGGGCCCAGGAGCCTTGAACCCATCCATGCTCATACACACCTCTCTAATCTCCGCGGGACCAGGAACCCTCTGGACATGACTAAACGAGGAGCTGGTGACCTTGGGAAAACCTCCCAACAGAGGAAAATGGGTCACGTTATAGTTATCCTCAGTGTACAGTTTCCTATAGAAGTCCAGCACCATATTCTTCAACTCCCCAGGCTTAGTAATCCATTCCCCCATCTCATTCTTTAGAGACAGTATCTTGTTGCGTCTTTTACAGGTTAGGGTTGTTGAATGATAGAACCTAGTGTTCCTATCCCCATCCACCAACCACTTCTGCCTCGATCTTTGAAACCACACTAACTCCTCCTTAATATAGATCCCATTCAACTCATCCCACAATTGTCTATATAGGAATTCAAGGGTACTACTAGGCTGCCTTTGAAGTTCAACATCAATACCCAACAGCCTAGCATGGAGTCTAAACTTCTTGCGAATAATCTCCTTGAAAGAGTGCTCATGCCAGAAGGATGCCTCAACTCGAAAACGCGCAGAAGCTTCCACCCACCTGACTCCTTCGTTCCAACAATTGCTGACTATAGTCTCAAAGCCTCACAAGAAAGCCATGACACGAGGAAGCGAAAAGGCTTGTTCCCCCCAGCAACCCTCCGTCTGGCACCTCCCCAAAGCAAGAGAGGTCTATGGTCAGAGCTAAAGTAAGAAAGATGCATAATGTATCTATCTGGGAAAGCTGAAACCCAAGTCGAATTGGCAGCTGCTTTATCCAAACGCTCAAAAACCTGACCTCGTTTCCAGGTGAAGGACGGACCCTTGAACCCAATATTTCCTAGTTCGCAATCGTGGAGACAGGAGGCGAATTCCTGCATACTCCCACAGCATGCGTCCCTTCCTTCCATCTTTTCCTGATTTTGCAAGATCGCGTTGAAGTCTCCCAAAACAATCCACGACTTTGTGATACTTGTACTCCGATTTCTAAGTTCCTCCCACAACATCTTGCGCAGTCCTTCTATGGCTCCCGTACACGAACGTGGCAACTTCCTCTTTGCCAGTACTAACCCACTTTAAGTTAGCGTGAATAAATTGGAAATGAGAAGCTAGTAGCTCAACCTCTACACAACTCCTATCCCATAGGACCCATATCCCACCTGAAAAGCCAATGGCATCACTCTTAAGGAAACTGTTGAAACCTAGCGACTTAATCTTCCTGTTAGCAGCAAGCCCACTAATGCGGACTTCCAGGAGGACCAAGACCTTAACGTCATATTTTTTCACCATGTCTCTCATCAGGAGACCAAAACCCTTCTTCTTGGCACCACGACAATTCCAGCAAAAGATACTCATCAAAAAACAAAGAAAAGGACCGAGAACGAAGGACAAGAGTCTTTAACTAGGAAAGGAAACAGTTATCCAGTATGGCTTCGTCAACTAATCTAGCTGCCTCTGGATTATTCTGTTGGTATCTACGCATTAGCTCCAAAGCGTCCGGTGGTCCTTACCCAACTGTCTTCTCACCGTCCTGTGTGTTATGTCCGTTGACTTTGGCCATGCTATCATAATGACACGTCACTTTCAGCTTTACATTACCCGGTTTCCCATTCTCTGAACTTACAACCACCTTTGTACCTGTCTCACTCGTACTAGACGTGGTACCGCTTGCTTTCTGGTTGTTCCCTGTCAACTTTCCTCCTACCTGCTTAACATTGTTCGAGGAATTTCCTCTTTGTCGTAACGTTTCTGGCCTCCCTTTAGGTTTCATGAGGTTTGTGACCTCCTTTGTCTTCCCTTTTCCCACCTCCAAACCTGGGATGATAGCAGTTGGCTGGTCTCCCTTTGCAGTGTCAGACGCGGTCAGAACACTCTTCTCGAGATTTTTGGTGGGAAATCTCTCCCTCTTCATTTCTCCTTCGTCGTCGTCTCCCTGGTACTCCCCTCCGGCGCGGTGACATATCTCCTTCCCCTAGGTCCTCTCTTCACCACCATCCATGCCCCAAAGGCATCAGTGTCATTAGAGTTCCCTTCTGTCTGCATCTCGACATCCCCCATGTTCCCATTCACTCCTATGTTCGCTTCAGCTCCCACTGCCTCCTTATTCTGTATGGGGCTCCTCTTTTTCTCAGCGGCAGCGTCCTCCTTTCTATAATCCAGTCCCCCGTTGCACGCTTCCTTTTTGTGCCCATAACGTCCACAGGAAAAACATATTAAGTGCAACCCTTCTTACCCCACATTCAGGTATACAAACTTTTGTTGGATAAAATCCCATAACCTAAATCTCGAAACGAAACTTCGACGTAAATCTACCTCTACACATATTCTAGCAAAACGGGCTTTATCTGTAATCTCCCCCTCAATCCCCTCTGCTCTTCTAAGTGAAGCCTTGTCTACCTTCAGTGTTCTTCCTAGCATGTTCCATATCCTCCATAGGTGTTGTGCAGTATAGAACTCCGTTGGGAGACCTGGGATCCTTAACCAAACCGCCATTCTCTTTACCCTTTCATCATAAGGGTCGAAAAACGGTCTCCACCTTTGGACAATAACATAATGATCCAAAACGATCCATGGGCCTTCCTGTATAACATAGACATAATCGCGTTTTCCTTAAACTTCAGTAGCAGGTGGCCATTGTCTAGGACTGTGAGTTCGTACGTCCCGTTGAGGTTCCATAATCTCTGTAGTTGTAACACCCCGTATATATCCGGCAATGTTATCATAATATCGTATTAAGCTGCGCTTAATTAAAAATGCGGAATTACTTTTTCTTTTCAATTATGATGCCATTAACATTACCAACTTGCTTAATAATCAATTAATAAAACATCGCCTGTATGTAATTGCAATAAAACAGCTAACTGAAAAACCTCATAACATAGATAATATAAGTGTGGCTCTAGTCACGGAACTACAACAATGTAGACCGGACCATCTAACAGTTTATATAGCTCCAATCTAAAAAGTACTAACAGAGAGTGTCATGGACAATCCCCATGCTCACTCAAATAAGGCAACATGCCCAACATCAGTCTCAACAACAACATATCATAAATAGCGGAAAACATAAACAGCATCCAAATCCAGTCATGCTAACATAAGGCAGTAAAACATAATCAGCTAAGCTCCGGCCTCCTGCCGCCTGAGGCATCAGTACCCATATTACCTGATCCTGAAATAAGCATTCCCCAAACGTGGGGTAAGATCTCTAATCTAGAAATCTCAGTAAGTCAGTGAGTCCTCAAGGATCTTCCACCCCAACCTCACTTACATGTGCAATATAAGTTCAAAAGCAGTTTATCATTTATCATTTCTAAAACAATGCAATGCAGCAGATAATCATGCCATGTGTGTCAATACTAATCTACTGGCCAGAGACAGTGCAGGTATACGTCTATCACCTACACACCGTGCAAGTACCACTTGCATTCACCCCGGTACACCGTCTTGTATGGCGCTACATACTCAGGCTTCCCGTCAAGATGAAACAACACATGCATATTAAAAGCCATTACATGTAAAGTTCAATTAACATATCAAATATCCAAAAGCATGTACACAGCATGCATAAACCATACCCCCATGGGACATGGTGGAACCACAACATGGCTAAACCGAGGACACGAAAGCTTACCTTGCAAGCTAACTCCAAAAGCCAAGAGTCCACAGCTCAAAGTCCAAACACAGCAGATTCACAATCTGTTATGGACCAACAATACATCAACAACATGCACCACAAGCATACAAATTAAGACAACGCCTTTCCATACGTTTAACGTCTTAAGGCTCCATACCAAACCATAAGTCCTTAATCACTTGATTCTGACTTAGTTTAATTAAAACAGAAGTTCAACTTCATCAATCTAGGGTCCCCAAACCCCCAATAGCCTACTGTACACACAACACAACTACTGTTCTACGAAATCCCAGAATATCCAGTTATTCCTCGGGACCATATCCGGATATGCAATATCCGGATATCTCACTGGACATATCCGGATATCCAGAATCTCATATCCGGATATCTAATATCCGGATACTCAAAACCCATATCCGGATATCATATATCCGGATATTCATCGGGCACATATCCGGATATTTCACGACAGAATGCAGAAAATGCATTTCGTGAAGATATCCATCCAAGGTTGGGTTTTTAACGATTTAAAGCACCTAAACATGCATTTCTAGGTGTGTTCAACATTACTCAACAACAAGTTATCATCTTTAAGCCTTAACATGCATCAAGCTTTCATTTTTAAGTTCAAAGACTCAAGACCAAAGGTGACAAGGCTTACCAAAGCTCAATCAGCCAACAAGAGGTGCTCTTGGAGCTCAAAAGGTCACTCCAAGGTTCTGTCTCTCTCTGCACACGAAAATGGTGCACAAAGGTGGTTCTTTTACACAACAAGGAAGCTCCTTGAAGCTTCAAAACACCTAAGGAAAGCTCCCTCCTTCCCAAAACGTGAAAACAGCAAGCTCACCCTCTCAAGACAGAAGCCAAACTCAGAAATGAAGTCTCTTTCTCACTCACCAGGATTGTTCACACTCACCCAATGTGTTTACAAGAGAAAAGTGAAGAATCAAGGAAGAAAAGCCCTTGAACCTCAAGAAAAGGAAGGAGAAAACCCAAAGGCTGTGTTTCTGGTCAGCCACCAACACAACTCACGTAGCAAAATCTGGTATCTAGGGCAATGTGCCCTTAATAAGGGTATTTATAGCCCAAACGCACTTAAACACACAATATTAACTTTAATTGCTACGCTTAGCATTTTAATCCCAAACTTTGAAATCTGAAACTACACAATTTTCTAAGATTTATCATATTTTTCTTATAATTTTCTGAGCACCTTTCCGGTACGCGCTTTTCCAAGCCAGTGCCGATTTCCAGCACCAGTTCTCATTATCTGGACTTGAAACTCGTTTTACAAGTCCTACATATCATTCTAGTAATTATCATATACTTATTATAATTTTCCGGGATACTTTTTTGGTACGCATTTATACCGACTAGCAGAACCGATATCTGCACTTTTCTTCCGAAAAACGACTTTCAGCATTATTACTCACTTACTATAATTATTAAAGCCTCATAATAATTATTAGGGTCAATTATGGAATCATTTCCTATTTTCTCATAATTTATTAATTAAATTCCTTAATTAACGGTGCGGGTTCTTACTGTAGTCTCGCTATCAAAAACCTCGGTGCTACCTTCTTGCCCATGAGTTTGATGATGAGAGCGTTCCGCCACTTCTTGCGGTCCTGATGCTGCTTCCTGGAGAAAACATATATTGGGCACAATGGGTCATCCTCCCCCCACTCCCAACCTCATCAGGCAAATCTTCTTCTTCCTCCTCCTTTCTCTGTTTTGATATCCAGTCCTCCTCTTCACTGTCATATTCATTGCTTCCTCCGTTCAAGCACAAGACCTTATCCAAATAAGAAACCAACTTCCTACTTTTTCCTGCGCACACCCCTTTGTTCGCCCTACTGTTATTGCCTCCAGCGACTATATCGTCCGTAAGTGGGTCTTTCTCTCCCATATCATCATCCATGTTGGCATCATCAGGTCCCTCGTTCCCCTTAGGTTTCTTGACACTGTGTTCCAGTTGGTCTGATTCTTCCGTCTCTGGCTTTTCCCGTTCCCTCTCCTTGGCGGATGTAGTTGCCTTCTTGAAAGGAAACATCACATCTAACTCCAAAACAGTGCCGGAGAATCTTCCGGAGATCTTTCACGCGAACCCTTTAGTCTTTCATTGACTCTTCATTGTTATGATAAACTTTATGGTGATATCTCATAGACTCTCTTTTTTTTCTAGCTTTTCTAGCTTCTTCAAGGACATTGTCTGTCATTTTTTGAACGCTGTTATCGTATAAGGAAGGTCACTTTTTTAAAAAATATCTAATT